TTTTCTTAAATAAATCCCTTTAACATTTCAGAGAATTATGGTTTGGTGATGATGAACTCCTCTTGTATTTTCTTGTCTGGGAAGCTCTTTATTTGCCCTTTGACTCTAAATGATAGCTTTGCTGGGTAGGACAATCTTGGCTGTAGGTCCCTGCTTTTCGTGACTTTGAATATTTCTTGCCAATCCCATCTAGCCTGCAAGGTTTCTTTTGAGAAGTCAGCTGACAGTCTTATGGGAACTCCCCTTTATGTAACTGTTTTTCTCTTGCTGCTTTTAAGATTCTCTCTTTATCTTTAACCTTTGGCATTTTAATTATGATGTGTCTTGGAGTGGGCCTCTTTGCATCCATCTTGTTTGGGACCCTCTGTGCTTCCTGGACTTGCATGTCTATTTCCTTCACCAAATTAGGGAAGTTTTCTTTACTTTTTTCAAATAGATTTCCAGTTTTGTCCTCTTTCTCTTTTCCTTCTGGCACCCTTATGATGCAAATGTTGGATACTTGAAGTTGTCCCATAGGCTGCTTACACCATCCTGGTTTTTTTAATCCTTTTTTCTATTTGTTGTTCTGATTGGTTGTTTTTTGCTTCTTATGTTCCAAATCATTGATTTGATTCTTAGTTTTACCCACTCTACTGTTGTTTCCCTGTATGTTGTTCTTCATTTCATTAGTGTATCCTTTGCTTCTGACTGGATCTTTTTTATGTTGTTGAGGTCCTCACTAAGTTCCTTGAGCATCCTTATAACCAGTGTTTTGAACTCTGCATCTGAGAGATTGCTTATTTCCATTTTGTTTAGTTCTGTTTCTGGGGTTTTGATCTGTTCTTGCATCTGGGCCATGTTTCTTTGTCTCTTCATTTTGGCAGCCTCCTTGTATTTATTTCTATTTATTAGGTAGAGCTGCTATGACTCCCTGTGTTGGTAGTGTGGCCTAATATAGCAGATGTCTTGTAGGGTCCAGTGGCATAGCTGCCCCTATCACCCAAGCTGGGTACTTGAGGTATGCCTTTCAAGTGAGCTGAATATACCCTCCTCTTGCAGTTGAGCCTTGATTGCTATTGGCAGGTCAATCTGAGGGATTTACTCAGCCCAGTCAGCTATAAAGATTGGCTGTGACCATTTACCACCACCTTATACCCTCCATGGAGGATCAGCTGTGCAGGAGCAGGGGGATGGTGCTCCAACATAGTCTAGCTGTCCACTGGGGGTGCTGGCCCTGGGGTTTCCCAGGGGGTGCAGGCCAAGGTCAGCCCTCACCTGGGTTTTGTCTGGGGTTGCCCTGCTTGCGCTATAAAACAATCTGAAATGACTGCTACTTGTGCTGGGCTTGGAGATTCCCAGAGGAAGCCACGTTGTGAATCTAGGCTGGTTGCTGCTAGTACCTATCCTGGTGCCCTGAGGCAAGCTGTTACTTGTTTGATAGGATTTAGGAAGTTGAGCAGCATGAGCCAAGACCAGGCATGCATATGGAAAAGCAGCTTGGGTGGGCCTATAAGCTGGGTGGGGTGGAATCTTAAGGATTTACAAGGCGGGTCAAACAGTGTTAGCCAGGTTGAAGGAGTCTTAGCCTATTCTGTGGGGAGGAGAGTTTAGGAAAGGGACAATGGCCTCCGCTGCCTTGATGGTAGACACTTCAGTTTCTCCCTGTATACTACTGGCCTTTCAAGCTGCTACCCCAGTGCTGGAACTCAGAGGGAGTGAGTCTGAGTAGGTGAGTCCATGTGGGTTATTTAAGAGGAACTGCTTGGGGCTTCCACCAACTCAGTCCCCGCTGTTTTTTGCAGCTAGTTGTGGAGATTTATCCCCCTGGCTCTGAAACCTTGGGCTGGGGGGCCTACTCCTCACTCCTGAGGTATCTCTCTTGAATTTTTATCCACCATGTGTGGGCAAGGGATCAGCCCATTCCTTGTCTGCTCCCCTCCTACCAGTCTGGATGGATGTGGTTTCTTTCATTCTGTAGCTATTAACTTCCATTCAACTTGATTTCTGATGGTTCTGAGTAATGGTTGTTCTATATGTTGGCTGTAATTCTGATGTGATTGTATGAAGAGGTGAGCCAAGTCTGCCTATGCTGCCATCTTGGCTGGAAGTGAATCCTATTCTTTTCCAAAACAAAGAATGAGTAGCCAAAGGATAAATGTGAGTGGCCTGAAGTTCTATAATTACTCAAGGTCAGTGTGATGATGAAAACCCTCAGCTAGATTACTAATGAACCATATTAACCACGTATAAAAGAGACAACACATATTCTCCTATACATCTTGCAAATCACAGAAGCAAAGAAAACATTATACCTAGACCCAAACTCTGATTGCTCAAAACCAAGTAGCCCATTTCCAAATATGACATAAAACAATTTGCTAAACTTTTAAACAGTCTATTGTTTTTAAAGGAAAGTGCAGGTGGCTGTAATATATTTCTTTTCAACACCAATGCTATTTTATGTCTTTGCCCTTAAAAGTATTTGTACAGTTATTTACTGGTGAACTGTAATTGAGTTGGTGGTGGGGGAGAGTGAGGGAGTCACTCCCTCTGTACCCAAGGAGACATCTGCCCCATGCCCTTTCTGGAATGTTCTGTTCCTATTAATTAAAGAACTACAAATATGAGTCATACCCATGAGTTTATGGGTGGCGTAACCAGATATTCTGAGAATATTTCTGACTGAGGAAATGAACCCATTCAGCCCATGGAATGATCAGAAGGCAGGTGGCGGGAATAATGCTACAGAAGGTCTCAGGAAACAATCTAGTCTCAGTGTGAAAAGAACTGAACATGTCAGTTCACTCCCTACTCCTTTCGAGCAATCTCGGAACCAAGTGGTGAAGATTACATAAATTATAAACAAGACAGTCAGGAAGAACTCTGCTGATATGTTGGCAAGGTCTGAATAAAAAACAAACAATCCTTATAAACACAGAGAGAAGGAAAACACAAAGCAAAACCAACACTTTCGACATAACTAACTGAAAGTGATGAAAGGAAATAGCTAGTTTCTGCGAATTCTCCAGAACATCTGGACAAGCACTCACCTACAAAGTATTTAACACATTTTTATCCTTAAAGTCTTTCAAAATCCAGAGCTCAGACATACCAGTATATCTTTTTAAGAGAGGCACGCCCAAAAGAAGTCTAGCACTGTTTTCGCTGGACAAGAGATCCAACCACTTTTTAAGTTGAAGAAATGCCTCCCTTGCCCTTGGGCATGGATGTTTCTCCTGCTGGTCACCCTCACACACCAGCAGCCACCACACCCTATCAGCGTGTCCTCCCCAGAGGGGCAAATGCAGAGGGCATGCGTGGGAATGTGTCAGGGCTTTTCAGCAGTTTCAATGCAAACCCTTAGGAAAAGGCATTTCTTTATCGTACAAACACACACATATGATGAAGGACCTTTTCTTATTCATTCCCTCTGTTAATCCTCAAGTTCATTTGGAACACTCGATATAGGCTGTTTTCAAACCTCAAATACCTTTACCTAAACCTGTCCCTCTGAATGAGTGCTTTCTAATTTTAACCATTTTTGTCACGTATGTCTCTAATGACCCAGGCATACTGTTAAATACTCTTAACAAGCGGACATGTGCTTTGGGTTTACTTTCGCTTAGATTTTACCACAGTCTTAGGATGTTTATTCGCCAGCTGCTGATCTGTCTCAATCATAGCATGTGGGATCCTTGGGCGACATGGGCGGGAAATGTGTGTAGGGACGTCAGAGGACAGAGAATTAGGGAACTTCCCCTTCCCTCCACAGATATACCCTCTGACCCAAAGGAATACCTGCTTGTAGTAACTGTTCCAAGAGCAGGTTTCCAGTTTCCAAACAAATGAATTGGTCATCTCTAAATGGACCAAATGACAAGGGTGGACTTGAAAATGAAGCCCCCCCCTCCCTTCATCTGGGTTAAGACCCGCAGGCACAAACAGGATGACAGGTTAGCCTCCGCAAACACTCTGCACGGGAAAGAGGATCTGTCAATACGTTCCCCCAAACTGAACATCTCTTGAGAGAAATTGCTGAGCTTTTCACTGTCTGGTTCAAGGAAGGTGGCTGAGAAATGACTTCAATTTCATTATCAGTGAAAACATGTGGCCTATAGACTCAAACTACCAGTTAAGTCATATTCCTAGGGCTCATGGGTCCTATTTTTTTTTAACCAATGATTAAAATAAAATAATTTTTAAACCACCTCTCTAAACATAAAATCACAGCACTAAAGTACAGCAATCCCCCTCTTATCTGTGGTTTCACTTTCCGTGGTTTCAGTCACCTGTGGTCAACTGAGGTCTGAAAATGCTAAATAGAAAACTCCAGAACTAAACAATTCATAGGTTTTAAAATGCATGCTCTTCTGAGAAGCTTGAAGAAATCTCGCGCTGTTCTGTTCCGTCCCACCCCGGACGTGAATCACCACTTTGCCCAGCATATTCTCACTGTACATGCTCCCTGCCGGTGAGTCACTTAGTAGGTGTATCACGAGAAGGTCAACAGTAGCCTCGTGCTACGTCGCAATGCCTATGTCATTCCGCTCACCCCATCTCATCATTTAGGCCTTGTATCATCTCACATCATCACAAGGAAAAGGGTGAGTACAGTACAGCAAGATGGTTTTGAGGGAGAGACCACATTCATACAACTTTATTACAGTACATTGTTATAATAGTTCCATTTTATTTATCATTAGTTGTTGTTACTCTCTTACTGTGTCTAACTTATAAAGTAAAACATTATCATTTGAGCATCCACTGGGGGTCTTGGAACATATCCTCTGAAAATAAGGGGAGACTGTACAATGCATCCATCAGGATTGATGAGACAAAAGTAATATCCCTCTCTCAAAACACTGAGAGGCTCACAGTGAAAAGATAAGCATCTGTATAAAGCAGCTAGACCCAGTGGTTGGCCCATAATAGGTACTCAATAAAAAAATGAAGAGTAGCTACTGTTCGCTATTGCCAGCACGTCTGCAGACCAAGGGCAGTATTGTGCCGCCCATACTTACTGCGTTTCAGCCCCCAGCAGCATCTCTACTTTCTCATTCGCGTGGTTACTAAGGACAGTCAGAGTGAAGAGGTGACTGGCGGAGTTCTGCCTTGAATAAAGCATGGTGGAACTGTTCTTCCCTGGAGAAGAATTAAGCTCTTCATTGTCACAAGATTCCACCATTAGCTGATCTCTTAAGGCATAGTCATTGACGTTGTAACTTTCTTCACTGTCAGGAAAAGGGAACAGAACACAATGATTCAGTGGAAAAGGCTGTGGCACCTGGTCACTTTTCAAGTCACATTTTGGGGAGGGGTGGTGGAGTGGGTGCAAGGAAAAAAATGATTTGTTTTAAAATATGAATTGGAATCTACATTGTATCTACTGATCATGAATCAATATGATCCTCCCCATTAGACCTATTAGTTACTATTTTTCTTTAGTGTAATATACTAAATTGTATAAACCCTCCAGGTGCCCCTTTAGAGTATCCCGGCACTGTTTTAAGCGACGGATGCATGCATTGTTATAATGCTTGAGTAAGTACGTGCACTTCCCAATCTTGCCTCCATCAGAAGAGTGAAGAGGAAACCCCAAAACGTAGCCACGTTCTGTGTAACAAGGCCTCACTCCCGGCCCCCAAACCACCAGGCTCAGGAACGGAGAAGAGCCCCGGAGGTCTGCATGCTTTTGGCAAGACATCCTTCTCTCCAACACACACAGTCTCACCACGTGCTTCAGAAACCACCAGGACTAATCCCTCTCTCTCTCTCCTTGTGCCAGCATTTGCCATTCCCTTAGAATCACATTCCCTAGTACTATGAATATTCTAACCTGGTCCTACCTCCCTGAGCTGCTCGGCTGGTTCCTGAATCCCTTGCACTGTGCCCTCTCACAATGCCCCTCATTTAGGGAAGACAACTAAACCTTCTAAATTCTCAGCCTCTTCTCTAAACCCTCCCTTTACCTCCTTGCCTTAAAAGAAACTTGACTCTCCCTAGAGAATGCCGCCGCACTGGAAGGCTCTCTGTCTGCTTGCTTCTCATTGCTGCGTCTAGACGATGTCACTTCCTCCGCCCAAAAAGTCCTCGGCTTTGAAGCTCACGCTATCGATCTCCACGTGGCAATCACAGTCATTTACAGACCCCGGGACCACTCTTCAACCTCCAGCGTGAGTTTAGTTGCTGGTTCCCTTTCTCCAACGCTACTTCTTTCTTGAATTTCCAGGTAGGAGGGCCTCCCATTATCCTGGCCTCCCCTGACGAGTCCTCTGTCCTACTTCATCCAACCCTCCATTGTCACACCACAGACCTTGTCATTACTATAAACTGCAGCCTCTCTGTAATCCTGATGTCAAACATGATTAACCAGCGCTGCCTGTCCCTCCAAAGCACCTCGTCTAATCAACCCCAACAATTCTTCAACCTACCAGTTCCTATAGCCCATTAACTTTACCACTGTTACCCAATCCTTAACCCCTTCACGTCCTCTCATTCATGCTTATTGACTTACCAAGCCTGGATTTGTTGGTACCTGTAGTTATAATCACTCTTTGCATACACCCTCATCTCCGTGACAAATCCCAACCCTGTTTAGATACAGTTTTCCCTCTACTGTGAATATGTACCTTCACCGCTGAACATGGGAGAGCTCAGTAAATAACTGTTGAATAATTGGATGACTATGCAATAAATTTGAGTATATTCTAGGAAAAATATCAAATTGCTATCTGATTTAATAATAAACATAAATGTATGAACTTAGGGGAATAATGAGAGAAGAGAAATCCTTATGCCCAGTCAAGTATACTAGGAATTTCAGAATAAGGCATTTGCCCAAAATTTCTTAAAATTTCTTTCATTCAGTACTGGACAGCTGCCTGTCAACCACTCCCTTGTAACTCTCTTTGAAAAACTATCATCTTTTCTAAAATGGAGTTTGATAGATTGTCCCCTAAAAAACAAAACAAAACAAAACAAAAACCAGCAAACAGTTATCATACAGAAAAGCAGAATACTGTGTTGTGATCAAGCCCTTTGTTGCTAAGTAACAATCTGTATTATTGAAAGTTCACATGGCGAGGTCATCTCCAAAGCTCTCCTGAACTGCCCACAGACGCGCAGGAGAGAGAACAGTATTTCTCACATCAGAATGCGGCTTAGCAAAGCCCACACAACTTTTAGGAAAGGAGCAAAGAGGAAGACACACTTTACAAAGTTGTATGTTTAAAAAACCATGTTTACCAGAAATAAAGCAGTCAGTTTTGGGGGGAGCAGAAAAAGTTTATAATGTTTGTTTAGGTATCTCAGACATGGATTTAGTAAGCCAGGATATAAGATATAATAAACAAGTAAACAAAAGCAAAACCTGAGCAACAAGAGAAAACACAAGGTGAAGGAAGGCTTCCTTGCTATCGTCCTCTCTCTGCACCTTCCAGTTACTCTTGGTCCAACTCACAAGTTAAAAAACACTATGAGAGTCAGACACTCATTTCCAGTTAAAATAATCTGTTCAGACAGAAATCCAAGCACTTTGATGTTGTGCAAATGGGTGCTTAGCTAGTACCCTAAACAATGACACTGAATAGTTACTCTTTGCATTTCCAAAGAAATAAAAGGCAAAGAAATGTATATGCTACAAGGCAATCACTCAAGATGACTCACATTCCAAAAAGTTTTTAGCATAAAGTGGTTTCACCTATTAGGTAGTCCCCACTAGAATTCAAGGCCAAGAATTCACAGAAAACTCATGTAAACTAATACGAATAAACAACTTAAATTTTTTTTCCTCTCAATTTTTAGAGTCTCTATTTTCCCCAGTGTTTGCCTTAATACAAATAACACCAGCTATTGTGTTTCATCAATGCTTTGAATCTTTGTCTTCAGGGGTAATTAGAGACCGAAGAAGTAGATAAATTATAATAGAATGTTTTTTATTGTTCTCTGACGCGATAAGAACTTCAAGGCCAGTAAGAGCTAGGGTGGCCGCTGACCCAGTTTAGGCCTGTCCTCTCAAATGTCCAGTTTGGATAATGAACTGCAGCCACTTTTATTCATAGCTTTCAGAGTTCACGTCCAGGTAGCTATTTCTACACATCTGCACATCTGTGTCACTGAATATGCCTGGACAGGGAACTTGCCCAGTTTTTCACTTCTGAGTCCAAAATAAAAAGCAGGAAATGTTTGCTTTTTTTTTTTTTAACTGATTCAATAGCAATCATCCAATATTATTTTATCTAGACCTCTAAACATCGTCATCACATAGTATATAATGTTCACAACTTCTTCACTTCTAATAAATTTAATATAAAATAACTTGATGTTATTTAATCTTTGTCCTTGTCCACTATTATTCAACCCCAATAAAACAAATATTGAAAAGCAGCTCACTCTTGCTGGCCTGTTCATTGTTCATGCTCTCTCACACAGATACACACCCGCTTAATCTCATAAAGATTCAAAGTAATCGTATTTTCCCCTCTCCAGATCTGCTTAATGCTGAATGAAATTCCTTCTCCTAATGTCAGTCAGCACCCACTCTCTCTCTCATGCTGATACAGAGGTCAAAATACGTGTTAAAAGACGTGCTTAAGCAGAAGGAAGAGGGGGGAATCCAGAGCCAGGCGCAGCGTTGTCCAAGCCTATTTCCCTCCGCTGCTTACTCATCCATGTCCGACAAGTAGACCACGGGCTAAGATGGGCTGGAAAAGCAACCCCTTTCCTGAGGGAAGTTGATGTTAATCACACTTCCCCATGTTTGTCTCCAGCATTTAGCAAACATATGGTTTACATAGTCTCTGAAACAATTTGAATCATGTAATTAGGAAGTTAAATTGCTCAGAAAAAGGCAAATGGAAAAACCACCTTTCCTCGCATAGAGAAGTTTATATGTAGACTTCCTTTGATTGTCTTATATGTGCTCCAAGTTTACCAGCTGCTCATCAAGGCTGTCTGCTTTGTGCAAGCAGGGCCTCCTATCGGATGCGGCGATCAAGTCTATACGAGTCTGTTGCTCTGTAGTGTAAACAAGGATTGGTCTCCCAGTTAAACCCCACTGAAAGTCCAGTAACCTTTGGTGAGAATCCTTTCTTTTCTTTCTTTCTTTTTTTTTTTTTTAAACAAGATAAAGAACTATCGGTAGAGAACAGGATATGACGGTAAATACCCGGATTCCTCCTCCCTTGGGAAAGCCTTTTGTTAAGCAGCTCAGAGTTTTGGGTTCTACTAAGTGCAACCTAACAGCATGGGTTGAAAAACTGACACACCTGACGGTGAACAGTGGCTTTCCTAAGGTGAGTGTTGTGGAGCGCTTCTACCCTCTGTCTTACAAATTTCTATAACGGTTAGAATTATCCGTGATGGGCATATATTTATTACTTTTAAATCAGGACATTTGACAGCTGCACACAACATGCATTTTAAAACACCAACACTACATACAGACTTATATACAGTAGGGGGTGTAGGATGACAGACAGCAAACTCAGCACAGGACTTATTCTGGAAGAAGGAGGAGGAAGACAGAAAAATGGTGAAGAGACTTTAGGTATACCTGCAGTCTTATACCAGGTTTTTTTGTTTAAAAAACAGAGAACTGATATATATGGCAAAAAGTTAGTCTCCATTAAATATGGATGATAGGCATGTTAGTGTTTGGTAATTTTTGTATGTATGAAATATTTCACAATTCAAGGCATAAGTGTTTTTAATTTAAAAATAATAAATGCATACATGTGAAAGCTACCATCATTCCAGGTGTCTGTGGATACCTATTGGTATCGATGAAGTGACTACTGGACAACAGAAATCTTTTTTTGACCTCCAAACAACTGATAATTTGCAGATGACATCAATGACTGAAAATACATTACAAGGTGACAGACAGTAAATTCAGTAACCAAGCTGGGTTACGAAAAAGGCTCTCCTATTAATGACACCCAAAAAATAATAGAAGTAATCTTATTTATAATAGCCACATAAACATGGAAAAATATTTAGGATTAAACTTAATCAGTTTCTGCTATATAAACACAGCCTTCAAATACTGTACTTCAGAAGAAGCCCTGAATACATAGGAAAGTTTGATATTATAGAGGTATCAATGCTTCCTAAATTAATATATAATTTTAACACAATGCAAACGGGATGTTTTGGGGGGTGGGAGGCAGTGTGGAGGGGAAATAAGCTGATTCTAAAACACACACAAAATAATAAACATGTAAGAACAGCC